TTGTGCCGAGCGGCATTAGTTTGTGCCGATCAGATTCAGTTATCAGTTACGTGACTGATGTCGCGAGTTCAGACCGGTATCAGTTCAGTTCAGATATATATGCTTAGTTCATGATATTGTTATTATTTACGATGTTTTACATTAGTATGGGTTTCCACGGAGCACAGTGCCTTAGTGCTCACTCCCAGTTTTATCATGTTTTTCAGGTCAGGATGTCGGGCCGGGTGTAATATCCCGAGATATTATCAGTATAAATTACGTTTAATTCCGATATAGTAACGGTAGTGTTTATTATTTTCGGGATTAATTAAGTTCAGTCGGATTACCGAAATTTATTTTCGGCGTACCGTTTACGTCCGAAATAATTTTGGTAATTAAGTATTATGTTTAATTTAACAATTAAACATCATTTAAGTGATTAATTGAGATTAATCACATGATTAGCTTCCAAACCCTAATAAAGCCGTGAGTAAAGATGGGAAATGTTCCAAAAATTTTCTAAGTACCGAAAGCTTTCTTAAGCTTAAGGTAAAATTAAATTAGCCAATCAAACTTTAACATTTGTCATGATCTTAAGTAGCTTAGTCATCATGAGAAGCATAAGAATTGAGCAAGTGTATTAAGGAGAGAGTAGCCACGCCATGGCTACATCATCACCCCCTCTCGTCGGCTATGATATAAAAGGATGCATTTGGTCCGAATTTTCCACCATTTTTCCCTATAGTTTCAGCGTACATATCTTCCCTCCCCTCAGCAACTGACGACAAGCAATTTTCCGTAAATTCGCTTCGCAATCGCACGGCAACCCGAAGCCCTATCGCACGGCGAGTTCAAGGAGCAAGTAGTCCGCCAATTCTCCGATTCCGTCGAGCGTTCAGAAAGGTAGACTTCTATTCAGCTCATAGTCTTGTTAATTAGGTCAATTCAGAGTTAATTGTGCGGAGAATTTTCAGGAATTTATAAGAAATTTATGTCAAGCCGTGCCTATGTTCAATTAGGATGATCGCCGAACAAGTTTTAGTTTCTTCCGGCAAGTCATGAGTTATTATGTTCTTTTCAGCTTATATTTAAAGTAGTAAGTTCAGTTAAGTATAGTTAGTCGATGAAAAATCGAGGATTGCCGGTGAATTGGCCAAAGCCGTAGCTAGTGCCGATCGCACATGGCTACGGGCGGCCATGAGGCATGAGTTCATAAGCTGAGCATAAGCCACGAGCATTTATCGTTTATTTAACCTTAATTCAGTTAATCACGTTTAGTCTAGTGAGTGTTGTCGTGTAAAAGTAAAGTTTTGCCGATGAAAGGCCCCAGCCGGCACCCCGCGCCTATCGCGCGTAGTTCGGGTAGCCGCGGGCCGAGGCCTATTGCTTCAGTATTGACCGAGTTCTCTCGTGTGATTAAGTTTTAATTCACTTCAATATATTAATCATGTAGTAAGGTTCTGAAGTTGTCGAGTAAAGTGGCTATTTGGCCGAGAGATGACCGGAGGCCGTAGGCATCGCATATAGCGAACGCGCCACGGCCGGAGGTTCGGTTCATCGAGTTAAATTCAGCCGTTTTATGTTAAATTCAGCTATTTCATGTTAAGTTCAGCTAAATGATTATTTTAAGTCATAACATGTT